AAAAACAAAAATATATCGCCAAAGGAATCATTTTTCTGCATACAAATTAAGCACAATGTCGTCTCGTAAAAAAAGATAAATATTTTTTAATATTTCATTGTCAAGCCAAGTGTACAAGGTTATTATATCCTGCATTCACACAGTGGGGGTGTATATTATTAGAGTTCGGGGTTTCGGGGAAAGAGAAATATTTTTGGTACGATGTTGGAAAGACGTATTCTCCTTACGGTGGCTTTGAAAAAAAAAAAATTAAAATAATAAGTGAAGGTCAAAACATTATGCTGGATATTTTCATTGGAATATTAGTAATATTTTCTTCTTGTTTGAAGTAAATAGCAATAATTTCAACACAATTATTCAGATACTGTATGCAATATCTTGTACCGAATACCTTTGTTATTTTGGAAATTAAAGTTCTTAGTAAGAAGAAACCATCTTTACATAAATTATTAATATAGGTCCACATTTTGGTATAACCCTCATATGAATTTACACACCGATTTTAGCTGTTTCCGAGGTCTAGGCCACAATTTTTAATTTATTTGGCCATTATTTGTCATCGTGGATTTTAAGGGGTAAAAAACCTTTTCGGCGAAAATGTTCAACGTAAGTAAATGTTTTAGCGCCCATACAAATTCACCTCCTGATTTTACCTTTTTCGAAGGTACAGCAAAATTTCAAAATAGATAGGTATAGTCCCCATATAGTCCTGAAATTAAGTTAATAATAAAACAAATAAAAAACATTGAGTTCGGCCGGGCCAAACTTTTAATACCCTCCACCTTAGGGTAAAAAAAACATTAGAAGAAATGTGGCGAAAACCATTAAAATACCGAATATTGGGAGGTACCGTTATATGGAGGGTATATGAAATCATGGACCCATGCATGCAATGTTTCGCCACCGGAGCTGGAACCCATTATGACCAACAAATACCAATTTTCAGGCAAATCCGTGAAAAAATGTGTCAAAAATCATTAAATTACCGAATATCGGGAGGTACCGTTATATGGGGGCTATACCAAATCATGGACCCATACATGCAATGTTTTACCACCGGAGTTGGAAACCATTATGACCTACAAATACCAATTTTTAGAAACATCTGTGAAAAAATGTGGCAAAAAAAAAAACTAAAATACCTAATATCAGGACGTTTTTTTTGGGGGCTATACCACAACGTGGACCTATACATGCAATGTTTAGCCACACGCTCAGGGACCCGTTATGACCTACAAATACCAATTTCCAGACAAATCCGTGAAAAAATGTGGCATAAATCATCAAAATACCGAATATCGGGAGGTACCGTTATATGGGGACTATACCAGAACGTGGACCGATATATCTCATTTTCAATACCAACCATCCTAGACACAATGCAAATAGCTCTGCTAAATTTTGGCGCTCTACGTCAAACAATGACAGACATCGTTATTTAGAATTTTATGCTGATTATGAATATATACTCTTTATTGGGTCTAAGACGAATATTTAAGGATGTTACAAACGGAATGACAAAGTTAATATACCCTCCTTTCCAAGGTGGAGGGTATAAATATTGCCCTCATATAGTGATTATACCAAAAATCGACCGACTTGACAATATTTATCTATGATACTTGAAGTATTCCAAAGCTCTCTAAAATTTTCAAAGCTCTATATTAAATGCTGTGAAATATGTCTCAAATTAATGGAGTTCTATTGTACGTGGTCACAGCTATAAATATTCTTTCGGGGGTTTGGTCTACAAACCGAGAACTATCAAATCCACTTGGAGTTTTTCACTACCCTGACTGACTATTAGGCAGTGAAGTTATAGGAACATTTACAGCAATTTCGGAAAAAAAATTGTCGTATGGTAGAATTAATGGCAAATAAAATTGCAGAATATTTTTTGCTACGATCCCGTTTGAAGGGAGTTTTAAATTATATTCAAACCCGAAAGGAAAAGTCAAAAGTCGGGCGGGGCCGACCCTTTTAGTAGATCTCCTTTAGTAGATCTCCTGTAAAAAAAGAATTTATTTAAAGTAGAACATACCACATATCAACATTTGGCTTTAGAGCAGTTATAGCTTGGTTTCAGAGGAAACTAATATGTGGGAGGCATATCCAATTCGGGATCGATTTTCACCAAATCTGAGGGAGACATTTTAATCTTTTATACCAAAAAAGATTGCTATAGAATGCATGAGAAGGATTAAATTAAAAAAATATATGTCGGAGCCGAGTTCCATAAAATGTATGTCCCGAAATTCACACTATTTGGGCTGATATATTAATTGCATATACAATACAATTGCAATATACCTGAAATCGGATTAGCTATATTTAGGAGCTATATCCAAATCTTAGCCGATTTCGATAAAATTTCCAAATAACATTGTTGTGGAATGGATATTACGAATTTGAGGGACATAAACACCAAATCGGATGAAACATATATATGGGAGCTATACCTATATCTGAACCGATTTTCTCCGAATTCGATGTAATTGCTTCTAGACTGAATTCGGTCGGATGTACAAAAATTCAGGACTTTTGGGCAGATGTGGGCGAATTGGCGTACTATTAACTCGAAATCGGTTAAACATATATATGGGAGCTATATCCAAATCTGAACCGGTCTCAATAAAATTTGGCAGAGGTATTTCCGAGGTCTATAAGGTATCTGGTACCAAATATTTCCGAGCTTTATAAGATATCTGGTACCAAATTTCATTGTTGTCGAATATTATGAATGTGAGGGACTTTAACACCACATCGGATAAAATATATACACATGGGAGCTATAGCTATATCTGAACCCATTTTCTCCGAATTCTATGTAATTGCTTCTAGACTGAATTCGGTCGGATGTGCCAATATTCAGGACTTTAGGGACTTCTTTCTGAGCTATATCTTAAGTCAGGTACCAAATTTCATTGTTGTCGAATATTATGAATGTGAGGGACTCTAACACCAAACCGGACGAAACATATGTAAGGGAGCTATACCTATATCTGAAACGATTTAACTAAAATTGACGTATTTGCGTCTGGACTGAATTCGGTCGGATGTGCCAAAATTCAGGTCATTTAGGCTGATATTGACCATTTGGTGCACAATTAACCCGAAATCGGTTGAAGATATATATGGGAGCTATATCCAAATCTGAACCGGTCTCAAAAAATTTTGGCAGAGGTATTTCCGAGCTCTATGAGGTATCTGGTACCAAATATTTCCGAGCTCTATATCTGATATCTGGTACCAAATTTCATTGTTGTCGAATATTATGAATGTGAGGGACTTTAACACCATATCGGATGAAATATATACATATGGGACCTATAGCTATATCTGACCCGATTTTCTGCGAATTCAATGTAATTGCTTCCAGACTGAATTCGGTCGGATGTACCAAAATTCAGGACTTTAGGGACTTATTTCTGAGCTATATCTGAAGTCATTTACCAAAGATCATTGTTGTGGAGTTCATATTACGCATGTGAGGGACTTAAATTACCAAACTGGATGAAACATATGTAAGGGAGCTATAGCTATAACTGAAACGATTTTCACCAAAATTGACGTATTTGCGTCTGGACTGAATTCGGTCGCAAGTACCAAAATTCAGGACTTTTGGGCAGATGTGGGCGATTTGGCGTACAATTAACCCGAAATCGGTTGAAGATATATATGGGAGCTATATCCAAATCTGGACCGGTCTCAATAAAATTTGGCAGAGGTATTTCCGAGTTTTATAAGATATCTGGTACCAAATTTCATTGTTATCGAATATTATGAATGCGAGGGACTTTAACACCATATCGGATGAAATATATTCATATGGGAGCTATAGCTATATCTGAACCGATTTTCTCCGAATTCGATGTAATTGCTTCTAGACCGAATTCGGTCGGATGTGCCAAAATTCAGGTCATTTAGGCTGATATAGGCCATTTGGTGCACAATTAACCCGTCCTTGGGCCAAACAAATATTGTCTTAAAATTTCATCTCAATCGGATAATAATAATAAAAAAATAATATTTTGTTCACAAAAAATGCATGGACAGACGTACTGACATGCATAAATCTAATCAGAAAGTGATTCTATCAAGATCGTCAGAAGTAACTATGGGTCTATCTGCCTTCCTTCTCCATATTACAAAAAAATGCACAAAGACATAATACACGATATGGCGAAGGGTTTAAAAATGTACAAACCCAGTCCACCATCAAAAAAAAAAAAAATAAATAAATAAATAAAAAAAATAATAATAATAATAATAATAATAATAATAATAATAATAATAATAAGTATTAATAATAAATAAATTAATAAATATATAAAATAAAAAATATATAATAACATTGAAATGAAATCATAATAACTCTTAAAAAGTGAAATAGTCTTAATTATATCTAGCTCGATATATTGCTTTACTACCTCTGGTACATCAGGTAGAGACTTTTTTGTTCAGACTAGTAATATTTAAATACCTTGGATTTGTATATAATATATTGGATTATATATCTTTAATAATGTCATTCATTAAGGTTTATGATGATTTCAAAATCCTATTTTTAATAATTCTCATTTAGTTCATTATATTATTACAGTGTTTGGAGAAAAAAATTCGATATTTGGTCATTTCCCTTTGCTTTTTTATTCGTAGACCTCTACAACATATCATATTCTAGAATATCCTTTATTTTATTTTTCCATTCATCTAAAATTATATCTTGAAACATGCTATGAATTCAATATTCTTCTATATTCCAAAAATAACATGTGAAAGTAGTTCCTATTTTTCCCTTAACGAAATGGAACAAAAAAAAAAGATATGAAACCTATGAAATATTTTTGTAGCATATTCTTATGATCCTTTCTTTACATTTTTCTTTCTACTAACAATACAAAGAAACAAAACGAACATATGTATATATGTATATGAATTTCCATATATCCCAAAATACCATGTGAATGATTTTGTTATTTTTCTTTTTGTTTACTTACCAAACATTATTTTAGGTCATTATCCTTTGGTTATCCTTTTTTTTGAGTATAGGTTGGTTTGTATGTGTCAGTGTTTTGGTAGGTATATACAATAAAGTTTCAATATTGATATATTAACAATAGGCTTTTTTCATTCGTTCTATATGTTGTTGTTATCGTTTGGTTGTTAGGTTACGTTGCCATGTAAACGTTGAAAAAAAACAAAAAATTGAGCACATTGAATATTATTTTTTGTAAGGGGTAGAAACAACGAAAGAAAAATGAAAACAGGATATTCGATATTTACTCTAATCAATCGAGTACTTTAGTGAAATTAGTAAACATTCCGAATACCAAAAACTTTTTATTATAACAGAAATTGGAAAAACGGATTTTTATCCGGATATTGTATATCCTTTACGAATACAAATTTCCATCCCCTCTCCCATCCACTTGAATACATTTACTTTAGTCGATGTTTTAAGGTTGTCACGTTTAAATCCTTTGAATTAGAACAGACACAAGAAAGCATAAAACGAAACCGACAGCGGCTGCAGCAGTAAGGACTACGTTCGTACGCACACACACACACACACACACACACACACAAGGAAACACAGAGCACAAAGAAACGAATTTTCCGACACTTTTAAATCCACTCCTGCAATGGGAAAATGGTATTCTTCGTTACAAAGTCTATAGACTTTAGACAACAAGACTTTTTGATGTTCTGCTAATTGCCAGGATTAAAAAGGGAAATATCCTTTAGCTATGTAGATTAGATTTGTCAACAAATTAACTTTTTTAATGAAGTTGAATTAGTGGTATTTTAAGCGATTTTTCTTTTCATTAAAAGGATAACAGTATCCTTTTAGCTTGTTAACACAATATCCTTTAGATTACTTTTTAACTCGATTTTATTAATTAGAAATTACCAGCACTTTTTGGAGATTCCTTTTTCTAGATTTTAAGCCAACAATCACCCACAAGAAAATTAGCTTTAATTTTTTTAAACTTTACTTTTGTTATTTCACTGTTAATAATTTTTATTTTTCGTTTTTTTTTTTTAATTCACTTTATTTAGGGCCTTCTTTGGTTTTTCTTAATTTTTTCTTTTCATTCAATTTTTGTTCCCCCAAAAAGGTGTTGTTGACAATATCCATTCACTTCAGTTTGGGTTTTCGGTTTGCCGCTTTGACTATCGAAACACGACCGTTTGCAACCAATGCTCGCCATTAACTATTGCGTCAAGGGTGCAACATTGTGTTAGTCAACCCCTGCTAACGGTATTTCTTCTTTGGGCCACGAGTAATTGAATCGTTCTAACGGGTTTTTCCTCGCTTTCCTTTCATATTTATGTTAACCTTAATTTCTTAGCCATAACATGGTTGTGTTACACCACACACAACATATCCACCACCAAAATGCACACCAACACATTCTCTCTTAATATCCTTGCTCTCTTTCTCTCTCCGTATTTTACACAAAAAGGTGAGTTTGCTCACAGCACCCACGATTTTGTCAAAGTTTACCGGCTTGTTTACATTGGCTGCTATGTTGTTGTATGTAGTGCGGTTTTTTGTATGCACGTTAGAGCTATTATGCCGGTATAATTATTTAAATTGCATTTTATTACAAGGTGGATAGAGCATGAGCGAAAAATATATCAATTATTACAGAGAGGGGAATTTTTCAACATTTTCTCTTCGCTTATGTTAAAGAGATATGTTTTACTAATTAAATTAAAATTGCTTTATATATTTTTATGGCTGTCAGATATGGTAAGCTGTCAATCAAAAATGATAGCACCTACTATTTTTTGTAATAATTTTGACTTTTCGAACTGATGTAAAAATGATTTTTTTGCAAGTCCAAACTTGACAACAATTGTGAATTTTTCATAATTATGACAAGTAAAAATGCGTTGAATTCTGTCGTACTGAACTTTTGATACGTTCCACATGGGAAAATAGCAACATTGGAAAATTTATAGCACATTCTGTGATTGCTTGCAATCCCAAATATCAATATGGTTATGACACGACAAAGTATAGACTATCTGGGGCTAAATTTTTGTTCTCTGATAAATGTGAAATGAATACTTTTATAAAGGAAAGAAACACAAAATAAAAAATGTTATAAAGAAATTTTATTTTTATACCCTCACGATAGTATGGGGGGTATATTATGTTTGTCATTCCGTGTGTAACACCTCGAAATATACATTTTATACCCTACAAAGTATATATATTCTTGATCAACATAAAGGTCTATGGCGGTTTAAGAATGTCCGTGCGTCTGTGGAAAGCATTCTAGCTACCAACAAACCGAAGTAGGTTGATAAAATTTTCCTAAAATGTGTATTTTGGTATTGAAAATGGGCTATATAGGTCCCCGTTAAGGTATAGCCCCAACACACCTGTACCTCAATATATTCAGTATTTTGATGATCTCTGACCGATTGTTTCAAATTCCGTAATAAAAGTTCGTAATGGATACACCACGTGTTCGTATAGCCCCTACATAACGGTACCTCCCTATTCAGAAGAATTGATTCAAATTTAGTATTTGAATATCCTAGTAGGAACTACAACCTATGACAGAAAATTGCTTATGTAGGTCCAGGTCTTCGTATGATCTCCATATATCAGTACTTCCTCTCTATACTTGGCATTTTGACGGTTTTAGTTACATTATAAACCGGAATTGTTTAAAATTTCGTTTGTTAAGATTTTAACAGAAATTTTAACGGATTTTATTATTTATTTATTTTTTTTTTTAAATTATCTAATTCGTTCCAAATGGTGAATGTATTAAAAGTGGTGTATGGTGTTCAAGGTTCGGTGAAGGGTATTCACCGAACTTACCGGCCGAACTTACAACTTTTTATTATACTCTACACCACATAGTGGTAAATGTATTATGTCTTAGTGCATTTGTTTGTAACAGGGAGAAGGATGCGAGATAGACCCATAGTTACTTTTGAAGATATTCATAGAATCACTTTCTAAGTCGATTTATGCATGTCAGTCCGTCCGTGAACAAAATGCAAACAACATTTGTTTGGCCCAAGGACAAACCCTATTGAAATTGGTGATAATCGGATCAGATTTATCTTTAACCGTGCACTAAATGGCCAATGTAAGTCCTAATGATCTGAATTTAGGTACATCCCGCCGAATTGAGTCTAGAAGTAAGTACGTCACATTCCTTATATGCACTTCAGAAGAATGATATTTGATACCGAACATCTGATATAACTCGAAAATACCTGTGTCAAATTCTAAATTGATCGGTTCAGATTAGGATATAAGTCCCATATATATCTTCAACCGATTTTGGGTTAATTGAGCACGAAATGGCCAATATCAGTGCAAAATTCCTGAATAAATCCGACAGAATTTAGTCTAGAAGCAAGTACATCGAATTCGGCTATAGCTACCATATATATGTTTCATCCGATTTGGTATTTAAGTCCCTCAAATTCTTAATATGCATTTGACAACAATGATATTTGGTACCAGATATATTATAAAGCTGGGGAATACCTTTGCCAAATTTTATCGAGAATGGCTGAGATTTGGATATAGCTCCCATATATATCCTTAATCCGATGTCAGGTTTATTGCGCAAATAATGACTAATATCAACCCACTCTACAGCAAACTATAGCTGCTCCAAAGCTTAATGTTGATAGGTGGTATGAGCTACTTGACTTTTCCTTACTAGTTTATTTATAAATTTATTTATTTATTTTTTTTTTGAAAATTTCCAAATTTGTTTTCAAGTTATAGTCCCCCATCTCTATCCCTTCAGTAATAGGTAATATTGTAAATATCGTATAATCATAGTACACATTACCAAAACCACCTCCATATCTTAACCACAGACACCAACTGTGACATCAATATCAAATTACCGGATTTAAGCTCTGTTCCTTCACCCACTACCAAAATTAGTACTATTTTGGATTTTTCGTACCACCTTCATATATCTATTCCAGATACCAACATCTATATCAAATTTCAGACTTTTAGCTATATCCCTTCACCCAATACCAAATGTTTTACCATTTAATTCTTTTCGTTAAAATATAAGACGCATTTCCAAAACCTCTTCCATATCTGAAATACAGATAACATAAGAGAACCCCAATGCCAAATTTAATCATTTTTAGCACCTTTCGAACAATTATAGATCACATTTCCAAAACCATCTTCATATATCAGTTCCAGATACCAAAAGTGTCATCTATATGAAATTTTAGGATTTCAGCTCTATTCCTTCACCTACAACGAAATTTAGTACCATAAAGTACTTTTCGTACAACTATAGTACACAATTTCAAACCAACCGCCGTATTTCAAACACAGTTACCATCAGTAATTTGAATATCCAATTTCAGAATTTTATCTCCATCCCTATATCTAATAGCAATTATTGTACCATTCAGTACTTATAGCACATATTTCCGAAACCACCTCCATATGGCCAGACTACACATGACCCTCGAACCTAATAACAAATTTCAAGCACTATCTGTTCACCCAATACCAAATTGTACCAAATTTAGAACTTCTTAGTACTTTTCGTGCATTGGTATTATCAATTTTCAAAACCGCCTCTTTATAACAATCCTACCGGCAATAGGGACCCCAACACAAAATTTAAAATTCCAAACTGTTCCAAACACATTTCCAACAAGTAAGCAAAGGCTACAGTCGAGCGGGGCCGACCGTTGAATACCCTACAACACTATAATAAACGTTACAGTTTATATAGGCCAGATACTCGAAAGAATTCCACAAGATATTGTGACAAAGAAAACCATCAGGTTTCGTTCTCTAATTTTCGAATAATAGCAACTTATTTGCTCATTTCCAATTTATTGGTAGATGTTGCACGTAAATGGTCTTCCTAGATCTGGAACCAATATTTCCCAAAGACCTATAATCTCTCAGAAGTGGCAAAAGATTAACATTTATTATTGGTTTTTGACTGAAACGCATCTATATGAGATACAGCCATTTGACTATATTCTTCAACGAAATCAGCGTTAACGAAATAGTCAGAAGTGCGTCTTTCCTGTATTTGTGAATTCCCAAAAAGTCACTGGAATGGACATTTTCGTATTTTGTCTACAAAAGTTGGCAAACTATTTCACACAATGAATATTTTTGGATGGCCATCCGAAACTGCTTGGCTTTTGCAATGTCCGGTAACCCCCATTCAAATGTGCGTGAGGATCGGGCGATAACTACGACCTGCTGACAATTTTGCAGTTTTTTGGTCCATTTCAACCCCTAAATATATGGCGATCATCTCCAAAAAAGTAGGCTTCTGTTCTGACCCTCACCCCCATGCGAAATTTCATAAGGATCGGGCCATAAATGCGATCTGTATATGATATCCTGATATCCTAACTACTTAGTTTTGTTAGCTGTAGAAATATTACCAAATGTTGAATTCAAAATGAAAATATGCCAAAAATATGACAAAATTGAAAAAATATGAGAAAATTTTATAGAATCAATATTTTCATCTTTGGAGAGATATTTTTATGCGATTTTTTAGACGTTTTTTCTTTCCTGCCAAGAGGCCATTCTGAATTAAATAGAACTGTCGAAATCAGTTCAGCCGTTCCCGACATATAAGAGATCTTTCAAGCATATCTTCTTTGATGGACATATATATCGCACATATTTTGCTATATATCCGATTTGTTGGATGTTAACATCAATGTAAAGATCAGAAGTAACCTTGTCATGGCTTCGTGATTTCGCCGGGATTTAAAATATTTGCTGTTTAATGAAAATTTTTTAATTTTTTCAACACAAGAGATATGGTCTATTTTACCCGCTAAATATTATCCGATGACCACACAAATTGGTAGGCTTCTTCCCCGCCCTAAACTCTAGCTACATACGAAATTCCGCGTCGATTGGTCTATAATTGCGACCTGTATAGCTACTGCAAAATCCGATATTTTTTCAGTATTTGGTCCATTTCAACCCCTAAACACTTGGCGATCATCTCCAAAAGAAATAGGCTTCTATTCTGACCATAACCCCACCTCCATTCCAAATTTCGTGAAGATCGGGCCATAATTACGACCTGTAGCGTGATTACAAATTAACATGGACAGACGGACAGACGGACGGACGGACATACATAGCTAGATCGACTCAGCTCGGCGAGATAGGAAGATCCATATATACTTTCCTATATGGGAAACCAACATTTCGAGGTGTTACATAAATTCTGGCCCAATCAAACTTATAATACCCCCAACACATAGTGTTG